CATAACTCGATCCAGGAATCTCAGAATCCTTCTCAACTTCTTTAGCGATCGAATTAGCCCATTCGTGAACGCGCACATCATTCTCAGGATTATACCATTTTTGCCTGATATTAACACTAAAAAAGTTATGTCGATGTCCGAATGCTGTATCTTCTAGTTTGACGGTTGCTATTTTTCGTCCATCATGGCCTTCAAAAATTATTGCTGTTTCTCGAGCATCTGGATGAGTGTCAGTGAAAGAAATAGGTGTTTAAGACGACGGAGTAACTGATTCGAGACAATAGTACGGATTTGAATGCTTTACGACCACCATATGGTGCATTATCATTGCCAAGTGAATTGACAATATGATATGGCATAAGCGCAACCTGCTTCATAAATGGTGTGAGACGAAGAAGTGGCTCGAAACGATGGAGATATAATTCTTCAGAATTTGAGTTGTTGAATAATATACATATAATGACGGCTATTTAAATTGTATATTTCATGGTGAATGATTTGTAAAAATTGATAAATTAAAACTATTAATAATAACAATACTTAACTTTATATTCAGGAGGATGACGTCCAATTATCATCATCACAGTGTCATCCTCTCCTCTTTTCCCCAACCATTCAATATACGCTTCAACAACACTTTCGAATTTCTCTGCCTCAAATGCTAATAATACTGCGTATGCTTGATTTTTTTGGTCATGCGCTTTATAAACGAATTCATATGCCACGCCAAACTTACTGCAGCCACCACGTATTCCCCAATATAAATCGGGATTAGAATTCGAAGAAGCATGTTTCACTGAGCCGTCTGCAAGTACTATCGTCGCACTTACAAGATTGTCAATCATAAGACCATAGCGACCTAATAATGAAGATGTTTTGTTAACACTAATTTATACCGTTAAACTTACTATTAATTTACTTACCAGTCAAATATCCAAAACCACCGCCAAGAGTCAAACCACCAATGCCAGTATTATTGACAACTCCACAGACACACGCTAGCCTATGCGGCCATCAATATCTTTTCCTAATGCTCCGGCTTGCGCATAGACAAGCTTGTTTTCCTGGTCTATACGTACTTTATTTAATTTCTTCAAGTCAAGAAGAAGGCCACGGTTTGTTGAAGATGCACCGGAAGTTGAATGACCACCGGCTCGAATTGCAAAGTCGAGATTGTCGGTGCGTACAAAGTTAATCTGAATTAAGAATAATTATCGTTATGATCATTATTCTTAACGTTAATTTGTAATTATCTTTATTGAATTTACGTACTGTTTTGACAATGTCGTCTAATTCGGATATCTATGTTGTTAAATATAAATAAATCTTTCTTATCAGACTATATTAAATACAAAAAATACCTGGATAATAACGCTAGCCGGTTTAACTGAATTATCAGCACACCAAACCAACGCTTCTTTATATTCTTTCGCTTCTACTTCATCAGTCGTTGTCGCAGATAAAACCCGAGCTTCTTTTGAAAGTGATTTTTGGAATTCTAGAATAGCATGAGACGGCAAATCTTTTACCAGGATTCTTTTTTTGACTGAGAATGAATTTTCAAACATTTTCGTTTCCCGTTGTACTATGACAATAGAGTGAATGTTAATTGGTTCCTTTATATGTTTCGATATTCTATATTCTTGTAAGTCGGATAACTCGGTCCGCCAGGAATTTTTATTCGATATGGCTCAGTCAGTGTTCGCAAATGGGAATGCATGAATACATGTATTGTATTATGTGATCATCTTATCCATTTTGATTTTTGAATGAGCGATTGTAATTATGGAAGTTTTATCCTGTTACTTCTAATAAACTGATGATATCACATATAATTACGTAGCTTGTTTATCTATAAATGTAAAATATCTAACAAAGCTAAGAAATTTTCTTTGATACATTTGTTAAGACTGCGAAAATTCATAGATCAGATGCGCCGCCGTTGGAGAAACCATCAGTGTAATAAAACAGAAATAGAAAACCGATATTTATAGATTTGAGTAAGAGGTGTGTATTATTAGTAAGAAAGATCATTTCTTATTAAATTTATTCTTCAGTTCATATTTTGATAAAACAGCAACGCTTTTCGTTTTGAAATAATTATCGTTAATTGAAATGATTTTGTCGATCAAAATTTGTACATACGTACGTACATGTCATGTATACCGCATTTTGCGGAATATACAGTGGCAATCAAAAATTCAAAATTTATTAATAAAAATGCGGGGTGTAAAATTAATTACATAATTTTGTATTTCATAAAGAATTTTGTTTACAATAAGTAATAATGCGATTTTTGCCATAATAGAAAATATGATACAAAAAACACAAAATTAATTTTTGTTTTTATTTTTATCAATTTTTTTAATTAAACTTTTTTAAATTATTTTTAAATCATAGCGACTTTCTTAACAATAACGATAACTTGAATATAAATTTACATCATTGTACAGTGCAGGTCACTTAGTTACCATAATTGGCCAAATATTTAAGACCTATTAACTCAACAATCTGAACTTTTCCAGTCAAAAAAATACGTGATGCTATAGAGTAGTCAATAAACTATTGATTTACGTATTTTCTAATTTTTTTGAATTATTTTGAGGGCTCTGATATAATTTGAAATTAATTTTTTTGTGTGGTAACTAAGTGACCGCACTATATAAGTTAAATTTTTTCAGAATGATAGATTTTCAGCCAATAAAGGGAAACTCATTGATATAATATCAAATTCGTACTATACGAAGCGTACTAACACTTCGGAAGCATCCACTGCTGGTCGGAGCTCTGACTTCATACTAAGCAAGAGATGGCGTTGGGGATCTTCGCAAGATTTTTTGTGTTCCTTTGCAATAATAATCAACAATAACATTATCGTTATCGTTATACGTTTACGTTTTCTTGAAGGTCATGAATTTTTTAGTAACTAAAGATAGTTTCGAAATCTAAAAGCTCAAACTTCGAGACAGAATACTAGGAAATCTTGATATACCAAAAATCTGTTTTTAGAAACAACTAAATCAAGCCGCACATTTATCAATTCAAGTGAGCGTATTTTGAAATTTAAATTTGGATGAGTATGGTGCATAAAATCTAAAGTCATCAAATGTTTGTATTTTATAAAATGTATAAACTTCTTTACTAAGAAGTAAATACCAAATTTAATCCGTGAATATGATATAATAAGCCTTTTCTGAACATATTCACGGATTAAATTTTGTATTTAGTTCTTAGTAAAGAAGTTTATACATTTTATAAAATACAAACATTTGATGACTTTAGATTTTATGCACCATATGACAAAAATACTCTTATCGCATTCTTTAAATACGATAAACGAAATTTCAATGTGCAATCAACTTTTGAATATGATATCAAACAATGCCCGATCAAAAAAATTTAAACGTGGTGGAGTATTACTTTATACAACAGGAATAAATCTCGCACAGCAATATTGCTCTTATCGAACCAAACTGAACCGAACCTATTTATGAGGAAGAGTTCGTGTTCGAACCGAACTTATTTAGTTAGTTCAAATTCGGTTCGAGGTTCAGTTCGAAGTTCATGAACATGTGCAGGTTCGATAGAGTTAGAGTTTATGTGATTATAAGCAAAAACAAAAAATAATATTTCAAAATAATATTTCGTATAACAAGACCTATCTAAATTATCTAATTGAGTAAGTATTCTAAGTTCCAATGAATCAAATTATGACGTAGTTATTAAATTGCGTGTTATTGCCATATCATAATAAAATCTATGACACATAGCTACCCAACTTTCTCCGAAAACACTGTGCTGCTCTTACAATCTTAGACACGCTTATTCGTGATCATGTTACTAGCCACAGAGAAGGCACATTCGAAAGCAGCGAAGTTAGAAATACTAATTACATGACTTTAATTCATTTTCAACTCGAATGTTGATATCTTTAAACAACTTATCTGCTTGAAATTAATATCAAATTCACACACAATCATATTGTTTATTCTGTAAAATTTTTTAGTTTCAGTGTATCAAAGAGAAAGTTTATAACAAGTATTTGCTAATAAATATTCACAGTATCAGAATTGTATTTCTATGAAGATAATCTTTATTTGCATGCAAATAATAATCAGAAACTTTTGTAACTCTTGGTAGAGCATGCGCAAAATCCAAATTATGATTATATTTTAAATTTTTTTAAGAAATATCCTATTAAGCATTTTGGAAAACGTAATAGACAATTAATATAAAGATAAAGTTAATATATATAATAATTATAAATGAGATTGTGTTGTTTTTCTAGAGTATGATTCACAATTGAAAAAAGTTTTTATACTTGGTATAGTAACAGATTTAATAAATTGTATTCATGAAAAAAAATTTGTCAGGTGAGAGAATGTTGATATATGAATATATCAGCATCTTTTGAACTATTAAATATGTCAATTACTCTATTTTATACAAGTTGTATGATACATGCACTATCTGTTGATCTTTTTATTATATTAGATAAGTAAGAAATAACTCTTAAAAAAAGAATAAATCTATTAAAAACAATTCTTTTAGACTTTTTTTGATTACAGATCTGATATTGATTCAATGATCTTTTTAATAGATGATTCAAGTGCTGAACAAAATGCATTAGAACTTTGTTGGTCATTTTAAATAAATTTTTGTACATATTTAATATTCTTCAGATATTTTGGCATCTTGGCATTAACTATATAATCTGAAATATTATATCAACAAAAATCATTATCTATTTATCATAAAAGTTATGAAAAAAATATTATATGCAAAGACAAAAATTGAAATAATAAAATTTTATCTTGAATTAACTAATTATTATTATTTATATTTGTTATTACAAAAATAATTCAAATTACTTTGAAGCAAATAGAAATTTTGAACAATATTAATTTATTTTTATCTTCTTTTATATAAAATTAACACTAATAATTATATTGAATATAGTTTTAAACTTGAATATATAACAATTTTCAAGTATTTTAATTAGTTATTACAAATATGAAATACTTTTATAAATACTGATTACTTGAAATAGCTCATAGTTATTTTAATCATTTTTGAATTGCTAAAAGATTTTTTTGTCCTGATTGAGAAAAGATCAATGTCTTAGAGATTTAAAAAACTGATACAAGTACTAAATATTTAATTTTAAGTCAAGAAAAGATACTATTTTATTTTATATATGTACTTGTTCAATCGATTTATCTGAAGCATCATGCAAATATCAAAGAATTATAGTTGTAAAATATTATATTGAATTATTAAATTTTTTTTATTATAAATATTTAGTAATTATACCTGCTTTATATATATTACTTGTAATAAGTGAGTTATATTGATATCTTTTATTTAATATTTTTATTAAAATTGCTAATATTTAAATATTTTTTCAAGAACTTGTACTAAATTATATTTATTTTATATTACTATATATTTATAATTCTTTCAAAACTGATAATTATCAAAAGTATAATAAAATATTGCATAATATAGTTGTTTTAACAAAGAATCTCAAGAGTTATAAAAGTTTAATATATAACAAACTTTTGTAGTTGATATTTATTTTAGATTTTTTATTAATTTACTTTTGATTAAGTCTAATATAAATTCCAATACATATTACTAGAACAGATTAAATTGATATATTTCAATTAAACTTGCATTTGAATATTTCTTAATTTCATAATAAAATGGAAATATAATATATTATAATATAATATTATTGCTTGCTTTTATGAGTTTTTAAACTTGACAGATTCTTTGAAAATTTTATCAAATACCAAATTACATTGGTGAGCAAAACAAGAAAGAAAAATGATCTTAGAATATTTAAGTCAAAGCCGTTATTAAAAAAATAAATTAGAATTAATTTAATAATTAAAAAATTATTGTTATCTGAACTAGTACGTATATACTAAAGCAATATCAGAAATAATAGCATTTAATATTATCTATCTCTTCAATTAACTTTTCGCATGCAAGAAAGCTGTATCAGGTTTTGTTAATCATCTATCACGTAGAAGTTTAAAAGAAGTTACTATTACTATTTTTAGAATCTTGTTCATACATACATAAAATTTGAGTTTTAATTAATGTTTCTCTAAAAACAAACATTTCAATCTGTTAAAGCAATGCAAAAAAGAAAACACTATAAATATTTAGTAAGCATTAAAATGCATATTCACATGTTCTTGAGGAAAATTTAAACTTTAAACTAGGAACAGGAATCGATTCTAAAATCGATTAACAGATTAATTGTTTCAAATAAATTCGATTAATCGATTTTTAATTCGAGAATTGATTCTCAAATTTAATCGATTAAAATTTTAATCGATTCTCAAATTTTAATGATTCTATAAAATTAATCGATTCTCAAAATCGATTCTAAATTAATCGATTCTAGAGAATCGATTCCTATCTTTATATCAGAGTCATTAAACTCTGTATTGGAAATGATCTCTTGGTTATCATCAAAGGCTAGAGTATTATTAATATTGTTGCTAAATGACAAGATAGGTAAAATTTGCCATTTTTATAAGTATATTTTCTCATTAATTTATTCTTTTTGATAATTTTGTTACAACCATTTATACATGATTAATCGATTCTTAAATATTAATCGATTCTCAAATTTTAATTTATTCTAGAATCGATTTCCTCGATTCTATAAAATTAATCGATTCTAGAGAATCGATTCCTATTCCTACTTTAAACTCAATTGAAATAAATAAAGTGCTCTATAAACTATTACAACACCAATTCTGAATGTCATTTTTTTATGACTGAACTATCTGATAATGTATTGAACTACAGTTGCTTTGTTTTTGAGATTTATCATATATTATAGTGAAGACTCGAATTAGAGCATTATACTCAGTTTCGTATATATTGTATATAATAGATTGTGTTTATTTATATCTATATAAATCTTTTAATATATTAATATATTATATTTATGTAATATTTTTAGCCTTGAATTTAGAATTTTAGTTACCAATAGGTGGCTAAAAATTTTCTTGAACAATTTATATAACAAAGCCAATATTAGTACTTATTTATTACTATAACAACACAATAATAAAATAACATTATAACTATTATTAATTCAACTTATTTTTAATAATATTTTGACCAAGATTATATGTATTTTTTCTAATTATCCTAATTTTGCATGCTGAAATAGCATACAATCAATATTCTCTTTATTTCAATTGAGTCAGAAATTTTTCTTTTTGTGCTTGAGGTTTTTTTGCATTGTATTAATTCAATTTGTACTCTAATTTTTGAATCACTTTTACATGGACATATAAATTAATATTATTATAAAGAAAAAAAATATTAATTTCAAAATAAATATTGCTTTTGCTATATTATATTATTCAGCCATTTTTTGAAAGCAAATTGAAGTTGTAATTTATAAGCTTCATAATCTTTCTTAATCATTTTAAAAAATAATTTGAAAATTCAGAGTTATGCTTTAGATTACTACATATTATTTTAATAGTTTAATCAAGTTTTAACAAGTATTACAAATCAATAATGTAATATATTATTTATTAAAAAACTAAAAAATTAATTTTAAATTAGAATCTTGCTATTAAATTATCTATTGAAAATAAACAAATAATTACATTATTAAATAAACTTTACTTGTTTGCTTTTTGATAATTACAAAACTTTAAGAATTATTTTATTCTTATTGTAAAGCACTTAACAAATTACAATTTGATATTATCCAACTTTATAAAATTTTACAATTATTTGAAGATATCTTGTAATTATAACAAGAATATTCAGATCAAGTTCTCTTTTGCTATATAATTATATAATTGGAATAAAGATAGAAATAATAGGAATAACCTTTATTATTTTTGTTATTCCTTTTATATTTATATATTTGAAATTATTGATTTGCAGCCAATATAAAAAATCTAAATTTTATCTATTTTGTTTAATATATCACTAATTATTACAAAGCTTAATTTGGATAATTAATTTGTATTTTTCTTAAATTAGAATTACAGAAAATGAATATATTTTTTGATTCTGCTATTTATAAATAATTTGAAAAAAATATATTGGAATTTGGAAATTTGCAACTAGTTCTACTAGAGAATTGGATCTACTTGCTGTCTGATTATTTGGAATCTGTATTAATGCTATCTCTGTTGAACAATTATAAAATTCAATAATTTTTTACATATAATTCAATAATATTGACTTCAAATAAATAAATAATAAAGTTTTTATAATGTTAATTTAACAAAATTAATATTTTTGTAGAATAAAGATGTTTTTCTAATGAGTCAGATTTGAGCATTAATTAATTATTGTTATCAGACAAAACAAAATAAAAAATATGATGAGATTTATAAGGATACAAATGTTTATCAATTGAATCTATATTATATTCAGAAGATTTTGATAAAGACCATGAGGTATTGTCTAATAATATTATCAAATTAGAACATGAAAATAATGAAACTATTTATATATTATCTGAAGAATGAGATAATTAATTGGTTGAATGGGCAGATGTTTGTTGAAGAAAAAGTTACATATATGGAAGATGTGAAAGTGGAATGAAATGAAAATCAAAATAATATAGGTGATTTATTAAGTAGTTAATAATGCAAACTTTGAACTTGGTAATATATTTTGTTAGCTTTTCAGAAACCAGATTATATGTATAGTGAAAAATAGTTTTATATTATTCATCATCAAAATCTAAGTGGTTAATATCACGTGAGATCCAGTGGCAAAATTCTTCCAATCTTCATTGGAACACCGGAACATTTTGATCGTTCAATGAAGTTCCAGTATTCCAGTCATCAACACTGTATACGTAGTAAATCTTGGAATATAGGAATGTAAAATCACGTTAAAAGAGTCTGCTATTGTTTACACTCGATACGTATAATGATAGGTCAGAGATAATTAGTAAAAAATTCTGTAATATAAAAATCGTTATACATGTATCGAGAAAATTTATTTAGTTTAATAGTTTTTTTTATGGCGTTAGACAATAAGCCGGTTTATTGGTATCTAATTCATTGGAGCACTTTTACACTACAGAATGCTCTTTTAACGTAATGATAACCACAATAAAACAGCAGTACTATTACACAATCAGTGTTTGACGCAAAAATCAACTTCCACGTTTATTGACCCATCATTTCAAAGTTTAAATAAAACACTGGGTAAAGAAAGATGAAAACTAAAATTGTGAAAGTCCGATATCTTCATTTTTACTAGACATCCAACTGCACAAATTCGTTTCTTTGTTGTGAGATTGCTACCGTAGTGACATTAAATCCTTTAATTCCGTGATTTTTGTTCCTAATTTCTACATGAATACATTAAATCTTCTAATTCCATAATTTCCTTTGATAATCCCTACCGCTACATGCTAATCACTCCATAATTAGTTTCGTATTGTAAGCCAAATTCAGAAAATTTCATTATGAATGAACATACGTACTTTTCTTTCTTGTGTCATAACATCATCCCCATTGTTCTTTATTATGATTGCGCGTGTCGATATTGATAATCTAGATACAATAATGATCCTTTAGAAAGACAATTCGAGACATCGAACGTTAATTGCTTAATTGTTTATAAACGATCAATGTAAAATACCAACCTTAGAATTAGCGTAGTAATTCGAAACTGTACATGTATAGGTGCTCTTAAGCCTCTGAGAAGACATGCTTTGATCAAATGAAATAACAAAGTTCTTACTTGTAATAATAATATTATTCGTGAATACATTATTATTTTCTTGATCTTCATCAAATCTTGCGAAGAAAAGTACGTAGCAATCAGTGGATGCTCTCCACTCTAATACATTGATTTCTTTAAATTGATATTTTGTTTTATTTTATTTTGATTTTGAGTTTTTCTTTGTCCAGGCCGCATCAATAAGTCCTGTTGTGTTTGAAAGTTTACTTTGATTTTGTTGAATAATTAGGATTTTATTATTTATTTTATTTTGATTTTTGCGTACAAATTGCCACAGGAGACCTTTAGAACGCCTAAAGAACCCCTTTTTCCGTAAATCATTCAGTCCCGCTCATATTTGTGTTGTGAAGAACCTTTTTATTTCAAATAATTTTAGAGGTCGACGCAACAATATATACATGTACTGCATGCATCATATTTACTACAATCATTACGTAAGTATAGCTTTTCATAAAATATAATTTTCCAATAAATTCCCCATTAATTTAAGCCTTGATCATCTGAATGTTTTTTCAAACAAGAGTTAATAACAAGAAATCCAATGAAAATATAGAGAAAATACGACCAATACGACGAATCATTTGGCGGAACATCAAAAATAATGTGTGGTTTAGTATGAGCTAATTGAAGAATGGCTTCTCCAAATAACGAATTTGCTACCCTGTTGAATTAGCTAAAGTTTAGCTTCGTAAGAAATATAAGTAACAATATATCATTTTTACTCACCCAAAGTCATTTCGAATTTGACTTCTAGAATCATCAAACCAAAAGGCTTGACTCAAGTATCCGGTGCGTGAGGCTGCCTCTTTGAGTAATTCAAGAGTTTGCAAAATTTCCTCGTCATTGTCTGATGTCATAATCTTAATTGTTAGTTGATTAAGAAAAATTAGTTAATCGAATCATTATTAATTTACGATATAAACAATAAATAAATAAATAAATACATTCATAGTAAGTCCAATCGGCCATATATATCCGAGGCCCGTATGAAGACTTCCTAGACCACTCGCGAAATTCCCTTTGAACCAATACGGATTCCACTTGCTCCAAACTAAAGAACGCGTAGATTTGTAGATCGAACTGTCGAGCTCGATGAATCCTAGATAGGGTAAACTTAATAAATTCGGAATGTTTGGATCATCCATAAGATTATGTGACCCATATCCATTAACTTCGTACGCAAATACATCTTTTAGTTCTTTATGTCGGACGATTCCATATTCGAAGATAGCATTTCGTATTTCATCTGCCAAATTTTTGGCATGCCAAGCAAAAAATCTTAATTCTGAATTTAAATTTAGACTATCGAGCATTTCGTGTAAATGTCGTAGTTCGACTGAAATCATTGCATTTGTTGGTATGATGAACGGATAGACGGAAGCGTCATCAGAAGGGCGAAATTGTGATTTCACGAGTCCTAAATTAGTAATTCGAAATTCGATTAATTAGAATTTGGACTCGCATTCGTATAATTTGAGTCAACTCGAGTCACTTTTTGATCTGAGCGAAAAAATTTTAACTCAAGTCGTTAGGCCACGAGTTTACCCGAGTCCAATCATTATCTGATCAATAATAGAAAATGACACGCACCGGTTCTTGTTACAATGGCTCCTAAATAAAGAATAATAAATTAGATATTTTCTACGTACTATTCAAAGGTTAAGAAATATACCTCTGCCATTCAGCAATAAAGTTTCGCTGCTGTTTCTAGTTGGTCGTGTGAAAAGATAGGACTCATTCCCAAATTCTTCCATAGTCCCGCGCATTTGTTCAGAAAAAATCTTTAAAGCCTGTCGAGTCGCATTGACCCAATGCTCATTACGAACGAATGATGAATCTTTTGTATGCTTCCAATAATGATATGTTAATTTTAGGAAGGAAGCCAGACTATCAGCTGACCATTTTTGCTGCCAAGCATCAGAAGATGGCTCTGGGTAACTTTTATCATCTCGTTGCCACGGATCGAAGGGACGAGAAATCCGAGATTCAATAGGCGGCAAAAAGGAATTTGAATAAATATCCTAATTTAAATATTTTATTAATCAAATTTAGACGGATATTTAACTTTTATATAACAAACCTTTTCCAGATACTCGGCTTGCATGTAAATTACCCCAAGTATCATTTGGGCCAAGTGAGTATCACGTTTTGCATAAGGAGTATACGAAATCACTTGATTTGTTGAATCTCGAATGTACATTACGCTAATAAAATCATTAGAACATTCACCCATAAAGAAAATACAATTACAACACATAATCAATAATATACTTCATGTTTCCAGGAACAATGAACGTTCTCGGATATCCTTTAGAAGTATCATGCCATAATATGGCTTTGTCTTTAAAGTTTAATTTAAACGTTAATATAAATCAAGTAACTAAAATTCTTTGTCATTATGAATTTTATTTTGTACCCAATGAATATGCCCAACAATTTTGAAATAGTATCGCTAAGTCTTTATCTTTCATTTGCATAGCAATACCGTTAAGAACATCATCGACAGCACGACTTCTGAATTTTTTGAACCAAGGACGGCTATAGATTATTTTTCCAAAATTAACGATAGTTTCTGTATCGGTATTGTTATAAACAGTAGCATTAACGTTAACAGTAGAATTAACGTTAACAGTAGAATTAGCGTTAACGTTAGCATTCGACATTTTGTTAGTGTTAGTTAACTGTATCATTAGAGTACATTTATAGTACATATATGTAGTGTTACAGACCCGTTCGACCAATCAAATCGAAAGATCAATGTTCTAACAAAAAATGGTTCTTGCTACTAGCGCTAGCGCTAGTACATGTACTATTTCATACCACTTTACGCTGGAGAAGTTACATTGTACATCATGTACAACATTGTGAGCGTGACACTCACAAAAACACGTATACTGTACATGCGATCACAAATTCTCCAGAGAACACTTGAAAAACAAATGTGTTCCCTACAACAAATTTCCAGCTCATTATTGATGGCACTTTTCCGAATTCAATATTACTAGTACTGCCTAACATTACTACCTGTGAAATTTCAAAATTTATCTTATTTGCTAGGTATGTGTTGAGTTCTTGACTCTTGAGGAAAGTTTGAGATTCGAAATATATTCATTGGAGCACCGGAAATAGGTGAATCACTTGATAAGTCAAAGGGTTGGAGCACGATTTCTATAAATGCAATTGAAAAGACAATAATAATAATTTAGATATTGAATTGATTTAAGAGTTGACTAACTTACCAGTTATTTTTTTAATTTCACCATGTGATCCTATAATTTCAGCTTGTATGATTTTCAAACTCAGGATCTGATCGGTTATCAAGATTTTTGTTCTTTGAATCAGATCCTAAAATTCGAAACAGACTTCGTGGTATCCATGACCAAAAATTAATACCTCCTATGCTTTTTTCTCCTTTGCTCTTTCTTTTGGATATACCGATACCATTGTCTTATTATCTCCAACATAATTAACATTATTAGTTTGAGATTTTTCTAATTCTTACCGTTACGGTAATACTAAAAAAAGTTTTTACATGTAATACATGTACGCAAGGCTGTCTTTTGAAAATTGTGAGTTTTAGACAAGTTGTCTAAAATATAAAGGAAGAAAGTAATACAAAATCTAAAGCATTCAATATCTTTATTTAGACAAATTATTATAAACTAAGATTTTGCTTACTCTTATCTCAAATATTTTTTCTCACGCTGTCTAATTGTCTAAAAGACAGCCTTTCATGTACAGTCGCCACAGAAAGTAACGCCCGATTTGGATGTGCAACATCAACATAAATTTAAATGTGGCGGTTTTCC